CTCTGGCATGCTGGCAAGGATGCGCCTCAGCAGCCTCTCTAAGAGTCCCCACCCCAAACTGCGTATTGTTCACTTCTTGACCTTTCTCAGACCCTTGTATCCCTTTGTCCTCTCAAAGCTCCATCCCAGTCCTTCCCCTGAGCATACCAGGTGGTTTCTCCAGCGAAGCACAGGGAGGACTTGCACACGCTTGTCCATGCCACAAGAATTAAAGACCATGAGGTCCCTTGGCAAATAAAATGGTTACTGGATTAAAAAACCAACACGAGTGAACTTCATACTCTTGCCTTTAGGGTAGAGGGGGAGAACGGGAAAATACACTAATGACAGATATGGGCCACTGTCTTGCTCATCAGTGAAACGGGCTGAAGGGCTAAAAGCAGAGGGTGCTGGCAGCGATGGAGACTATGTACTGCTCAATCAGGCAGCTGCCCCCGGTTAATAAGCCATCTCCACAGTCACCTGGGCTTCTTAAGAGAGTCAGTGAATCACTTACAGAGTGACAAGAAACAAACACCCACCACTCTAATTTCAAGCAGCCTCCAAGCAGCTCCCCACCATAAGCTGAGGGGAGCTCTCAAAGCGGCCACATACCCCTTGAGACAAACAAAAACAAGTGACACTGGAGGATTCTGTTTGTATGAAAATCAACTGGCTAAATGAATCGATGGCACCAGCCATTAGAAAGTGGTCAAGGAGGGAACTGAGAAGGGGTGATGGCAGTGTGCTACATCTTGTTTTGTGGCTGTCAAAATGTTTGGATCCACTCACTCAAGTTGTATGCTTGACTGCATGCTCATGATACCTTAGTAAAAACAGCAACAGGTGCTCTGGTGAGGTCCCAGGTCCAGACCAGTCTACCCTTTGGGCTGAATATTCTATTGTCCGCTATGTTTATTTCACACTGAGAACTCATTTAGTCATTCATTTATCAAAATTGTATTGTGCATTCAGGTCCTGGGGTCACAGCAATGAGCATAGTCAGAAATCTCTGATTATAAGGGAGGGGGTGTGGCATATGGGGATACTATGGAGCTTTCCTGCACCATTTTCTCAATACTCACAGAAACCACTGCTTTTGCGAGAGGAATCCCCTGGCAAATGTGAAAAGCACTGTCAACCAGTCTGGGCAGGGATACGCTCCCAACCCTCTATGGTGGAGCTTAGGAAAGAAGGTTAAGGAATCTATCCCCTTGAGTCCTCCCTGAAACTGCACCCAAGACATACAGGGTCCCACTATGAGAGGGGAAGACATCTGAATGTTGCTGTACTAATCTCCAGATGGGCAGGGGAAAGGACAGCTCACTTTTTGTGGCCCCACTTGTCAGTGTCAGAATCGGAGATGGCAAAGACAAAGAGGAACAGAGCATTCTTGACTAACAAGGGCCATACCCAACCAACAGTTCGTCTGTTCTTGGACCGAAAGCCTAACGAGCTACGGGAAACCCTCTGTACTGCTCAGGAGGCAGTGGGTGAGAGGGAAGCAATGGCTACTCAGTTTAAAAGGAAAAAGTGCCGAAAGAAGAGGTCAGGCTTCAGAGACACTCCCATCCCCGTCTGTCACTCCCGTGCTTCTTCACTCTTGTCTTGCTCTGCTGGGTTTTGTTGCTTTTTTGTTTTTTAAATCTCTGTTTTTCTGGGTTTGCATTTAAGATTCTTCAGAATTAATTAAGTGTTAAATGTGAAAGTGGGTCATGTTTGGTATACATTACCACTTGACTATGGGGTAAACTTTTACAACTAAAATGATTTTTTAAAAAGTAATTCAAATCCCTGTCTGAATCTGCCTCTGGAGTTATGACAAAGACATTTGCAATCGACACCACTCACATATTATTTGTGTTTTACAATGACCTTGGGGTTTTACTATATGAAAAAATGAAGGCTTTTAGGTGGTATCTGAAAATTACGAACATATTTTTATATTAAAACAACCCTGGCTGGACATGTTGGCACAGGCCTGTAATCCCAGTACTTTGGAAGGTCAAGGCAGGATTGCTTGAGCCCAGGAATTTGAGACCAGCCTAAGCAACATAGCAAGACCTTGTCTCTACAAAAAATAAGAAAAAATTAGTGGGTATGGTGGCACATATCTGTAGTCCCAGCTACTCACGAGGCTGAGGCAGGAGGATCACTTGAGCCCAAGGCTGAGGATGTGGAGAGCCATGATCACGCCACTGCACTCCAGGCCTGGGCCACAGAGTGAGACTCTGACTCAAAACAAAACAAAACAAAAACCTCATAGGGTGTTTTTAATGAGTAAGAACTTGAAAATTTTACAGTATCTCTTCAAATTTGAGTAAAATTATTATTCATTTTGCCCTAAAATAGACTAAGTACTGATTTTTAAACCCTATGCTCTTGGAATGGGAAGGCATTTTGTGCACTCATGCCAGAAATAAATGTCTAAACAAAGAGTCAAAGAGGGGCAGTTGTAGACATGGAGGCCAGAGGAGGCCAAGCAGCCTTGCAAAAATACTTTAAAGCTTTCCAGTGTAACCATTTAAGAGCAGTGTTAGTGACTGTAAAAAATAAAATTTTAAAAATATTTTGAAGTTTTAAGACAACCATTTCAAAAAATGTTTAAAAAGAATATCTCCTTTTCCTGAGGGGAATGCATTTTTATAAACTTTTTGTTTTTAAATTGTTAAAGTAACCTTCCATAGTAAAATAAAAATTCACATGCAACATAAAGCAAAAACTAAGAATCCTGTACTCATCCCATCCCTAGAATAACTGCTATTAATGGTTTCTTGTGTTTTGTACAAGAAAAACATTTCTTTAAATAGGAGCTGACAATAAAAGGAAACAAAGACTAAAAACGTAGAAACATCACGCCTGTGCAGGAACTATGGGAGCATATCTAGAAAAGACTGCCCTAAATTGTCCTGTACCAATGCTGATACAATGCTGTTTGGTTCTCAGTTACTAGGTGACAGTTACTCTAATGTTATATCATGTTTTTCAAAGTGACAAATAATAATTGTATATTTATGAGGTACTATGTGATGTTTTCATATATGTAAATATTGTGGAATGATTACATCAAACAGAGTAACAAATAAATAAGTAAACTAATAAATAGGCGATGGCTTGCCTGGTAAGGGGCCCATGGCTCTTCTGGGTTGGGGGTTGCATAGGTGTGTTCACGTCATGCCAACTCATCAAGCAGTGCACTTTTGCTTGTATACTTAAAAGAAAAGTTAAAAATGGGAGGCCAGAGGAGATGCAAAGTAATCTAAGACTAACTAGAAAGAGAAGGCCGGGTGCGGTGTCTCAAGTCTGCAATCCCAGTACTTTGAGAGGCTGAGGTGAGAGGATCGCCTGAGCTCTGGGGTTCAAGACCAGCCTGGGCAACTTAGTGAGACCTCATCTCTACAATAAATAAAAAAATAAGCCAGGCGTAGTAGTGCGTGCCTGTAGTTTCGATTACTTGGAAGGCTGAGGCGGAAGGATCACCTGAGCCCAGGTGGTTGTGAGTGTGTCGCTGTACTCCAGCCTGGGTGACAGAGCGAGGCTCTAACTCAAAAAAAAAAAAACAAAAAAAAAAAGAGAGAAAGAAAGAAAGAAAAGGAGCAGCAAATGTCTGACTAGCAAGACATGCTAAATATAACCGAGACTCTGGAAAGAATAATCTCTGAATATCTTACAAACAGAGTCAGAACAAGCCATTTTTCAAAAGAAATAAGTTTGAAAGAAATATACAAAAGCAGTTCCAAGGAGCCAAAGGAATAATGAAAATATTGTTGCATTAACATTTTCTAGAAAAGAATCCTTTCCAGTACCTAAGGGAGAATTAGTCACTTACAATTTCATGAAAAGAATTGCTTTCTTCTAATAGTTATTTTCAAGATGGGCTCAAGTTTCCATACTTGGCAGCTCAAATTGATCCTATTTCAGGAATACAGTAAACAAAGAGAAATACCATTTGATTTTTAATAACAAAATGCCACAAAAAATAGAATTGAAATAATTTTTTAAAAATGTGGTCTGCTAAAGATGACAGAACATCTTTCTTTCGTCTTCCTGTGAAAGTGAAGGGAACAAAGACTTTATCAAACCTTTGTTTTGTGTGCCCATGCACAACCACCTCCTCTTCACGTCACTGCAACTTTAAATCTGTGTTTAGGGCTGGGCTTGGTGGCTCAGCCTGTAATCCTAGCACTTTGGGAGGCTGAGGCGAGTGGATTGCCTGAGCCCGTGGGTTTGAGACCAGCCCAGGCAACTTGGCGAGACCTCGACTTTATGATAGGTACAAAATTAGCTGGGCATGGTAGCGTGCACCTGTACTTCCGGCTTCTTGGAAGGCTGAGGTGGAAGGAACGCCAGAGTCCAGCAGGTCGATGCTGGGGTGGCCATGAGCGTGCCACTGCACTCCAGCCTGAGCAACAGAGTGAGACTCCAAGCCCCCCCCCCCAAAAAACAAAAAACAAAAAAAACCCCTGTGTTTAAAACATTTATTTCTGGATTCAGTGCACACAATACATGCTATTTCAAGAGCATGGGCTTTAAGAGAGTCCATTTTAGGGTAAAAGGGATAATAATTTCACTTATAATTTGAAGAGACCTCTAAAGTTGTCACACTCACATCTGGTTTTCCCTGTCGTTTCTTGGAGTGTTTGGCCCCCCGCCCTAAGTAGGGATAGGAATCCTGTCTGAGCTGCTGATAGGATAAACGAGGGACTGACCTTCCTTTGCACTCCTTCTACCTGACCACCTCAGCTTGGACCTGCGACCACCTTGGAGTGACTGTCACATCTCTACCAGCCTCCAAGTGCAGCACTCCGGCTCCATTAAGCACTGTTCATCTGTTGACAAGGACCCCAAACCACTTCCTGCAGAAAGCCTTGGCTCCCCATTCAGACCCCCTTCCTACTACTCCCACAGCACTGAGCAAATGCCTTAGTGTTCATAGCAGTTTTCTTTTCTTTTTTTGAGTTGGAGTCTCTGTCACCCAGGCTGGAGTGCAGTGGCATGCTCGCAGTCATCCCTGCATCGACCTGCTGGGCTCCAGTAATCCTTCTGTCTTAACTTTTCAAGTAGCTGGAACTACAGGTATGTGCTATTGCGTCCGGCTAATTTTTTAATTTATTTATTGTAGAGACGAGATCTTGCCAAGTTGCCCAGACTGGTCTTGAACCCTCAGGTTCAGGCAATCCGCTTGCCTCGGCCTCCCAAAGTGCTGGGATTACAGGCTGAGCCACCAATCCTGGCCAGCAGTTTTCAAACATACAGGTCTCTCTTTCATCAGAAGTACAAGACATTTGGGCTTCAGATAAACCCTGAACTGTCCTAAGAGCCAGCTCCTATCAGAGGTAATCCTAAAAAGAGTGATACAGAGCCAGGCACAGTGGCTCAGGCTTGTAATCCCAGGGACTCAAGAGGTTGAGGCTGGCCGGGCACAGTAACTCATGAGCATACCACTGCATTCCAGCCTGGGCAACAGAGTGAGACTCCAACTCAAAAAACAGAGGCTGAGGCAGGAAGACTGCTTGAGGTCAGGAGTTCAAGACCATCCTGGGCAACAACTGTGTTAAACAAGGAAGGAGGGAAGAAAGGAAGGAAGGAAGGAAGGAAGGAAGGAAGGAAAGAAGGAAGGAAGGAAGGAAATAGGGAAGGAGGCCTGACCCTGGAGTTATTAAAGGTACTTACAACTATTTGCTGAATCAAATTTAGCATTTGAACTTAGCGAGAAAGAGTTCCAGAACTTTTAGGATCATTTTGCAGATCAGCATTTTACTTGAAATCATTTCACATGGACATAAGCAGAACCAACTTTGATGTAAGATCCATACCTCAGCCTTGCTTTATGTAAATGAGGAACAGAGGTGTAAAAACCATGAGGGCTTTGTGGATTCCTTCCAGAAAGAGATAATCAGGGGAGATGATGGAGACAAGATATAGATATGAGAAGCCACTATTTAAGAAAAAAAAAGGCCAGGCGTGGTGGTTCATGCCTGTAATCTCAACACTTATGAGGCTGAGGCGAGAGGACTGCTTGAGCCCAGGAGTTCAAGACCAGCCTGGGCAACATAGCAAGACCCTCATCTCTACAAAAAGATTTAAAAAAATTAACCAGGTATAGAGGTGCGCACCTGTAGTCCCAGCTGCTCAGGTGGCTGAGGTGGAAGGTAGAGCTGTGGTGAGCTGTGATGGTGCCACTGCACTCCAGCCTGGGTGACAGAGTGAGTGAGACTGACTCAAAAAATAAAAAATAAAAAAGATGACAGTGCTTAGCAAGCAGCCAGCTTTCTATTCAGAGCTGTCACCAAGTAGGTGGGACCACTGGGCTATTTTGGAGGAGAAAGGACACGCATTGCCCTATCTCAGAGTTCTGAAGACTCTTCTCTACTTCTGTCTGTTCCTTGTGTAATTATTTTGTATCTGCCTGGTCTAACCAGTCTCAGGCTGCCAGAAGCCAAACTGCTGCTAACAGGTACACTGAGGCACTGACAGTCTCCAGCTCATAAGCACCCAGTCTGCAATGACACTGGACAACACTTTCTGCTCATTTCAGGTATCAGTATCTTTTTCCCTCAAATCTCCTAACATCTAGGAATTTCCTTCCATTCCGACCAGAAGCATGCTGTTGCTAAGCAACTTGGACAAGTCACATCTAAAGATACTCTACACACTGTCTGCAAGTGGGCATGGCTAAAACAAACATGGTGACCAAGTCACTTCAAGTTACAACTGGGAGAGGCTAAAAATAGAACACATACAGACCTTTTACAAAAGTTGTCTGTTTTACTCTGGCTGACACCAGCCTATAACACCAGCCTTGACTTTGCTACTTACAGGTTTAAATCATATTCACAGAAACCCCGTGCATCTGCAAGTCCAGTGAGATAACACTCCAGCAAACCTCAGTCCAGCGGAGAAGGAGCTTGTGCTTACCCCATTCTCCAAAGGCCGACTTGCACATTAATTCTGATGAGTACAAATCCTATAAGAAGGGAGATGAGCCAGGCCAGTGGCTCAGCCTGTAATCCCACACTTTGGGAGGCTGAGGTAAGTGGAATGCCTGAGCCCACGGGTTCGAGATCCGCCTGGGCAACTTGGCGAGACCTCATCTCTACAGTAAATCAAAAAATTAGCCGGGCGTGGTAGCGCGCACCTATAGTTCCAGCTACTTGGAAGGCTGAGGTGGAAGGATCCCTGGAGCCCAGCAGATCGAGGCTGCGGTGGCTGGGAGCGGCCACTGCACTCCAGTCTGGGTGACAGAGTGAGACTCCAACTCAAAAAAAAAAAAAAAAAAAGAACGGAGATAAAGACCCGCATTTACTGCTGTGGTGGATCTGTCTGTTTGGAAAGATGACTGGGACATATACTATAGCCACTCTTGGGTTTCCTTTGGTCTTTAACCCCATCTTCTCACATTGAGCTTGAAGCAATTCATTGATGTGTCTATTTACTTGTTTTTGCTCCAGACCCTTTTTCATTCAATGAGGCTCAAGACTCTCAGCTTCCGCCTGCTAACACTCACCTCTGCGTCACAGTGTTTCTACATTAGTGTTATACAGACTGCAGTATTTCTACAGGCGACTTTTGGAGTCACATGACTTTCACTGCTCAGTTAGTTAAGCATTAACTAGGGGCTTTGTGCCTTCAGTGCTCTGGTTGAGGGAAAACATCTGTAAATAAAAATGTTCTTTCCACTTCTGGCACTCGGATTATCTCCCACTCCAGATACCAGGGTGAACTACTCTGTTGGTCTGTTATCCTTCTCTTTCAGGACAAATGAGTGACATAAAAGTGTATGGGTCAAGGACTTGGCAGAGTGAAAACAGATCCACGAAGCAGCCAGTGCCCGCGGTCCTTACAGAGTACTCCCCTGCCTGATCTCCAGGTCCTGGGTCTGTCACCAGTTGGGCACACAGGCATTTGTTGTGGTCCAGAAAATGCCAACAGTCTCCCCCAAGATGTTCCCAGCAAGACAGACCCTCTAATCCTTGGAAGGTGCTCAATTTGGAGACGGAAGTCGGAGTTGGAGGTATAGGGTCTGTATGGCCAATCTGTAAATGACCAGAAATGTAAGGAATGGATTTGTGTGAATGCCAAAAGGTACAGCTGAGGGAATAAGACTCGGGGGAGACCAAGACAGAGCCTCTGGCTTTCAGGAGTTCACAGGAGGGAAAACAAGTCACGAATAACCACAACTGGTGCAACAAGTACCAAAACAGGTAGAACCAGGCAAGACGGAAGCGGCAGAAGCCGGCAAATCGTTGGATTGATGTGACCTTTCATCTCGAGCAAGACCCCAACAGGTCCCGACCGGCAGAGGCCCTTTAGTTTTAAGTTTCCTCAACAACTTGCCTCGGGGTCTGACACAGAAGCGACCCGCAGGCGAAATGGGTCGACTACCATCTAACGCCGGGAATCGCGACCCTCCTCACCGCCGCCTGGCCAGCGCGAACTCCAGTCGCCGAAGCCGATTCCGGAAAGGGCCGGCCGCCCGAGGGGCGTGGGGCCGCGCACCGGGCCTGCCTTGCGCGACGCGCTCGCTGCCGGGGAAGGCCTCCGGCTGGTCCCGGCTCGACCTCCCATCTGTGCTGGCCGCCCCTCGCTGCAGCTGCCCTTTCCCCGCACCCTACCGGCAGTCCTTCCTGCCACTCGGTGGTCACTACCCCGGGC